AGTAGAAGCAGTCCGGCTAATTCTATCTTTGGATTTCTTAACAGTGAGATTTTTTATGGGGTGGGGTAGTTAGCCCCACACCCAACCCCCAACCTGGAGGACCAGTTCCCTGATATAATCCCCAGGGGCAGGGTGCCCGGCTATACCCCCAGACGCTGGGTACCCATTTTAGTCGCCTTTTACGACATGTATGAGCTACATTGGGACTATTCTTTCACACCCGGTCACCACACGGGTATATTAGTAGATTGATTTGTGCTTATTCACTGTGAATAATGTGAAGAGCAAATATTACTTGAGCTGGTACTTGAGCTGAACATGTAGTACTATCCAGAAAGAGTCCATACAATTATTGCATAAATAGAAATATTAGAGTTAGATTGTGCAGAAAGAAGACATTATGGAATTTGTCTTCTTTCTACACTACTACACTATGCCATGTAATATGTTCTTTCTACACTACTACACTATGACTACACTATGCCATGTAATTGCAGGATACAAAATCTTAAATAATGACAAACATTTTAAGAAACACAATTGAAATACAAAATAGAAACTTTGGGAACTTGAGAAGTAACTGAGTATAAAGAAAATTTTAAATAATATAAAATCTTCAGTAATACCAAAAACTTGGTTAAATAACTAAATAAGAAGAATAATATACAACAGAGATATTACATTTAAAGTATAATAAATATAAATTTTAAATGAATAATATAGCAAACTTGTAAATCAAATCAACTTAAGTAACTTAGTATACAATAAATCAAAAACTTGGTTAAATAACAAAGAATAAATAATAAAAAAAATAAAATAATATCATATAAGCAGAATAAATAAATATATAATAAAATATGATATTTAGCAAAATGCTCAGCAATCTCATATCGCAGAATTTAGCGTAGGCAGCTTGCGCAATATAGAAATTTCAATATAGAAATTTCAAGTAACTTATAAGTAAATTAAATAAATATAAAAAAAAAAAAATTATATAAAATCTTGAGTAATATTAAAAACTTGGTTAAATAAGCAAAGAATAATAATATACAAGTCCAAAATAAATTTTGGCATAAAGCAATTTAAATGTATAACAAACATTCTTCTTAAATCTCAGCTGCTCACCAAAGATGACACGTAGATATTTAGCAAAGATGCAGTTTGAGAGAACTTTAAAAATTACTTTTAAAGACAGCATCAATGTTACTTTGCAAGTGTCTGAAGTTTTTTTTTTTTTTTTTTCTTTATTGGACTTAATATCGTCATTTTTCCTATTGCAAAGATTCTTGAGCATGATATTTGTTGATATCCAAATTATCAGTTTGCTTATACTTTCACTTGTATGACCATTATCACAAATAATATCATCAAAGAGCATTTCTTTTAATTCTAAAATTTTAAAAGTCAAATTTGCAACAATTTTCCTCTGATTTTGTTCCAACAAAAAATCTTCATATTCTTCACTACACAGCTTATTTACAATTAAATAATTATACATAATTATATTTACAATAAATGGTTTTGGCCACCTGAGTCCACCACGATCAAGATTCTTTATAAGATCATACGTTTGATCATGATTAACTGTGGAATTTATTGTAATGTTTTGTTTGCAGGTACAGCATTTCACTTTCTTTAAAACTGCATGACAACAGTAACCACCCAAATAAGTCAGAACTGGCAGATGGCTACTAATGCCCTTCACATCACTCTCCGTAATATTTAATGATGGGTAATATACTGTATTATCTAATTCTATAATATCATGAAGATTATCATCATATTCAAATGATGTTAAAGGGACAGTAGTATTTTTAATAATCAATTCTAACTTAATACTTGATTGTATTCTTAATTTTTTTTCACATTCTAATAACTGTCTCATTGAAATATGATACTGAGAACCAGAAAGTTGTCTGTATTTACCAAACCGGGCTTCAAGAGCATCAGTCTGAATTTTTCCTGGAAGTATATATTTCATTCCAAGCTCTTCAACACAATATCTAGTCAACTCCAGTATACCATAAGTAGTTTGTTTGAGAGCTGCATGAGTTTCTTTTGTAAGCATGCCTGTTGAACATTTCATTGATTCCCATGCATCTAACCAGTTAAGAAACTGATTGAGGAAAATAACTTTTGGATCAGAATCATCTGCTGTTAATGGCTTCATAAATTCACTCTTTTGATGTATACCTTTAAACATAGTTTTAACATTCATAATATCCCACCATTTGCATATTATGGATATAAACTCAGATGTATCTGAATAGTGTGGTATTTCATGCAAAGGACCCAAATGAATCAGACCTTCAATAGTAAATTTATTGAAAATCTTAAGAACCAGTTTAATGTTTTGTTTCTCTAAATTAGAAGGTGAAAGACTTTTTAGAGTTAAACCATTAGAAAATGTAATCAGTTGGTCATTTTCAATTTCATGTAGCTTTCTCAAAGACATAAACGAAGCAGTTTTGAAGTGCTTCTTTGAAAGATCTTCAATATTTGGAAAAAACATACATGTACCAGGATTTTTCTGGTTCAGCCAATTGTTCCTTATATTTTTAAATAAATGAACTGCATCTATTATGTAGAAAAGAGGCCTATTCCCATTCATTGGATGTTTGTAAACAAATGAATTACGTGGTGGATTTGAAAACAAACTCATGGCTTTTCTATTTATTGCATTGTTGTCTGTAATAACACAAATAACAATAATTCCCATATTTTCAAGACCTCTAATCACTTTTTTAATTACATAATGTAATGTTTCAAAATTTATTGTGTTAACAGGCATAATATGTACTACCTCTTTGAATGAAGATTCCAAACTGGATATCATAAAAGCAAATGCACTGGTTGCCGGACTGGAAGAATCAAATGCAGCCCCAACGACAGAGCCTCCTTTGTAATCAAAATATGGCTGAACATAAATTTCATCTACCAAAAGAATCACTTTTCTTTCTCGATCCTCAAGGAAAGTTACACGATTTTTTATATATTTTAAAAAATTTTCATCAATAGTTTCATTACATGGTGACAATACTAAATTGCTACAAATTTTTTTTAAAGTCGAAGGATGAGGCATAATAATACTGCCACTATCCCTTAAAAATTTATATGCATGTGGTGATATAGTATTTAACAAGCATGCTAACACTAGTACATCAGGATTGTATCTAAAATTATTTTTAGGGCAAAGTAAAAGATTCATCTGGTCTTGCAAAAATTTAATAATGCTCTCATTTTTGTCGTTAGAGATAGTTTGCAGTAATTCATTAATTATATCAATTGTTATGGTTAATTTTGAATTTAACTCTTTGGTTTGAAGATTAGCCAATTTATCTAAAACAGTCCTAATTTCATTAAAATTTGTAACTTTATGTGGGAATGTGTAAGGAGATAATTGCATAATAGATTTTTCTTTAATAAATACAGACATTTCTTGATTGTCATTCACAACTACAGAATAATCAATTGATGGCCCAGGACTAAAAACAATATGAATAAAGCAAACAGTTGAGGTATCTGGAACTGTGTATACATGCCAAAATGCTGATATTCCATAGCGATCAATACATGACAAAATATCATTAGAACAATTAATTTTCAAATCATTATTATACATTTCATATTCTTTAAGGCTTTCACGCAATGCTTTCTGTAAATTATGGCACTCGCGGGCAGTTTTTTTTTGCATCAGGATCTTCTCGTACAATGGTGCTACTTTTTGAACTGTATACAGATGGATAGTCCTTAAATATTGATGGCACTGTATTTTCTTTTAATCTACGCACCTGAAGTGGAGCAGAAATTAAAATTCCATTCTTAGAATCAAATGCTGAAGCTTCAACTTTAAAATCACTTTTCTTGAAATGCAATTCACAAACCTTTAGAGAAAATTTAAAAAAAAACATTATGTTAATAGTAATAGTTTAAAAATCAGACGGTTCATTCTGAGCATTTGTAGTAAAGAATATTCATTTCACAGATAGAACCAGAGAATATTTGCAGTGATTAAAGCTCTATTTCAATCCTTTATTTCTGTATATCCTGGTTTATGTAACAAAATATTATCATTTAAAAATTTCTGAATGAACCCTTATATGTAATTAGAATCTACACTATTAATTAATAACTCTACTTTACTTACCTTTGAACTCTTTTTGGGTGAAAAGTCTTTCCGTTGGATTGCAGAAAGCCACTCTCTCTTCAAATCTTCATTTTTAGGAAAGGAGAATACAGACACTTTTGGTCCTGTTGGGTAGTTTCCCTTACATAATGGTACACAGCATCTACCCGGCATTTTAATAACTGAAATGTTTTTATTTAAATTAATATATAAAAGGGAGTAAATAGTTATGTATAAAATATAAATTAATTATTTTTAAATATAAAAGGGAGTAAATAGTTATAGTGTATAGCTAATGGCATGTAAAATTTTAAGAATAAGCTGTGTTAGCTTATATTATAACATCAAATTTATACAGGTCCATAAAAAAATGTTTTATTCTGAAACAGATCAGGTAATATAATTATGCAAAGCCCGTTTATTCTACGATGGGCTGACACAACATTATTCAAAAAGAAATTATACATAGCACAGCAGCCTTGTCTCTACCAGAAATAACACATGTATACTAGAACATACGCCTAAAAACGTTGATATAATTAGAAAAATATAACTTTACAGAAGTAAAGTAATGTATTCTTACCTCTCTAAAATACATCCAACCTTAAAACCATAAAAAAATCAAAGTATTCTGCTTCAGCGTTCGCACAACGTAAGAAGCTTCAGCAATCAGCAAAGAGCCACTGCATGCGTTCCGAAGTTTATTATGACCAGAAGTCGTGACGTCACACGAATTTTCGAACCGCGGTTGTGATAGTCATTTGGCGCCTCACTTCTTTCATGCCTCCACCCTTACCTTTTTCCCCCCCCCCGTTTATAAACCAGCCAATTTACTCTGCCTCAGAATAAATACATTGTGGTGTACTAATTCTTTGGCTCAACCCCGCTCCCTTATTTTTTTTACTGAAATATGGCTATGTATTTAGGTGTTTTGGCAACATCAAGTAATGAGTTGTTTTGTTTACCGGCTTTAAACGCATGTGACTGTACGTGCAAGCAGAGTGTGTAGAAGCATTGGTGCTGTTTTGAATTCATTATTTATAAGATGGATGATCAGGTATATAACCTGACTTTCCTTCTAAATTATTATACAATAGATTAATTACTGTGTAGAGGGAAAAAGGCCTCATTATTACATATTTAAAATATCTTTCGAGTGCAATTTTATACATTTTTTATAGTGGGCTGAAGTTGCATACAAAATTATTTTATTGTTTTACATCATATTTATTTATTTTGTAGTCTCTCAGTTGCATATTTATATTTAAAGGAGAGTGTCTTAATACATTTTACAGCGACTAGTTCCTGAAGTTAAAAAATTTTAGTCGTTTATTACTTTGTAATTTTCGCCTTCGATAATGACTATGCCTTTCTCTGTTATCCATAAAAATGTACTTCCTTTGGAATTAGTAAATATTCTTTTGCTAATTTATTGATTAAATTTAAAGCTTTGATTGAATCTCGGTATTTATTATAATTGATCTTGCTACTGTGATGTATGGCGCATTTACCGTGCACTGATTACACATTAAACGTGTCTGAAATTATAGTTACGAGATCATTTACTTTTGTTCGGGTATACTTCTCTAAATTATAATTTTAGGTTAATTTCTTTTCAGTGACATGTGAGGCAGAATCATATTTTCTTGTGAGTCATAGATTTCTTAAAACGAATGCAAAGAATCAAATTTTTTCGTTGAAAAGAATTAATATTTATATTTTAAATACCATGTTCTGCATGGAAAAGATAAGAACCAGCATTCTAGTTCTTATTAAGCTTTCAGTGATTTACTAAAACTTCATTATTAGCAAGTTTTTGGAAAAATCTGCCAGTAGTAACATTCTAATTTGAAGAGAAGCACACCAGTTCAATATTAGGCCAAAGAAAGCAACTTTAGATTGATGTGGAGTTTTGAATTAGCTGATTTTGAGGGTGTTTAGTCCCTCTTTTTCAATATATATATATTTTCTTTTGCAAATATTTTGTTGTATTGGTAACAAAATATATTTAGAATACTTTTTATAATAAGTCATACTGACATTATTGAAAGGTAAGAGAAACAAAAGATCTTGATAAATGATATAAGATTTTCATAAAGAAATATATCTTGTTCTTTCCAACATATTTTGAAACTATAATAATTTATGAATAATAAGTAGCATTGTATTAGGTCCCAGCCTTCATAGCTATCACAATATTGCTTGAAACAAAAGGGAAGCTATTATGTATTTCACAATACGTGGGGCATTCTGATTATTCATATACAGTCAAAAGTCGTTAATTCGGACCTCAAAGCTACAAACTTTCTGCACATGCGTCGCATTGACGCATGCGCGTAAGACCTTTACAGCTGCGAATATGCGTGTGCGCATGCACGAAATACGTTTACACATGTGCGTTTAATGTATAACAGATGGTATAAGCTAAGCTAAAATTATCTAGTTCAGCTAATGTTGCAGATTGCGTTGTTCCTTAAACTTCGAATTGGATCCGGCTTATTATTTTTTGCAGACTGTTAAAGCAATTTTATAAAAGTAAGCTTGAACTTTCGATTATGTCAAATAGAATTTCCGATATATATTTACTAATATGTAAAGGATCTACAAAGCGAAAGTACGTTTCGAAGTCCATTAAACAAAAAGTGGAATTGCTGCGAAAAATGGATAAAGGCATATCTTTTGTTTCTCTAACCATTCCGAAATCTGTTTATCAATTTCATGCTGCTCTGCAGCCGGTGGGGAAGGGAGGACGCCGCAGCGTGCAATGAATTGGAATTTGATCTGTCAGCACTATCCTTATCTTCAGGGCAGATGTTTTTATTTTATTTGGCTTATAATTCCTTACTAAATGTAGCATTTCATTTCCATGTACTCCGTCTTTGATATGATTTAAATCAAATTCCTCGTCACTGTAATTCACTTCCGATAGTGAAGAAAGTGACACGGAGGTTATTGAAAACGAAAAAATTTCGATTGACAAATTAGTCAGTATTCTCGACACAGTGATTATAGGACTTGAACAGTGGAACTTTGTAACTGAACAAGAAATTATGTCTGTTTATAGAATTAAAGTGAAAGTATATTATCACATAAAACGAAGCAACTTAAATAACTTACATTGAAAGAAATCTTTAATAAAGTAAACAAATAAATATTAAGCTTTTTTTCTTTTGTAAATTTTGATACCTTTTAGATCATAATTGTTCTTTATTTCATAAATTACGGTTTCATATTTTTAATTTTATAATTTCTGCATGCCATCTTACGAGATTTAAACTGATGATCTATAATCCAGAAAAATCAATAATCCGGAATCGCCGAAGTCCCGACGAGTCTGGATTAACGACATTTGACTGTATAAAAAGTGTAATAATAATAGCATATGTGTGTGTTATTACTGATTAAATTACTGTTTTAACTATCACTGTAACATTTGTTACTAGGCATTGAATCATTTTACTTATTTAAAGTTATATATTCCTTATAACGAATGGACTTCGTTTTTTTTTAACATAATTCTATATTAACTGTAAGTTATAATGCATTAGTGATATATTTTAATTTTCATGTTTTCTATTCACTAAGAATTATTAAATTTCAGGTATTTAGAAGCAAGTTAATATTTGCCTTTGCTATATTTAATATCAGAGGGTCCTTTGCTATATGTGCAATAAATTATTAATTTTACAAAGATAAAATCTGTAAGGAAAGTTTTGTACTTTATTAAAAAATACTGGATCTTTTTATCATTACAGAGTAATAATAAATGGTTTTCTCTAGGAAGCTATGTGCACCCAATTTTATTTTTCCAGTAAGAAAACATACTTTCATCATCAGCTCATTTCAACCGTGGTAAAATTTTTTTTACTTACGTATTAGCAGAACCATTTTAGAAGAAGTCGACAAATTTTCAGAATGTGCCAAACTGTGGCAATCATGCACATAACAATTCTGTTTTAATACACAATGTTGCCTTTTTTAGAGATAAATTGTAATATATTATTTAGTTATTGGTTCTTTTTAAACTCAGTTTTAAAACTGACAAGTTTGAGATTTGGGTGCAGTGAAAGAAATTGCAGGAAAAGAGGATTTTGTTCTAAAATTGGTAAATTAAACAGTCAATTTGTATTTGTTTGATCACCGTGTAATGTCTACAAAAGAGCTAAAGAAAACAACCTGCTTTTAAGTAAGCTTATTGATTGATTTTTGGAATAAATATATAATTAAAACATTAAATTTATATGTAATAATTAAGTTTTTTAGTGGTAACTCATCATTCTTTTATGTCTGTAAAATATCATCAAAATGTATCCAGGTAGTTAAGCTAATACGCAAGTACCAATTTTTCTAAACATTAGAAATATATCTCTTAGTTACCTATTTCAATAAATCAAGATCTAAGTAATAGAATGATAAATTTTAATTTTTTTGACAATATTTACTTTGAAAACAAAATGTAAATATATTGGCATACAGTTGGCAGTATTGGTTATATATCTTTGTATAGAAAGTCATCTGTTGTATGTTGGTAAAGATCTAAAAAATTCTTCTCTTCTGAAAACATTCTATACAATAATCAAAAAGATACTGTAAATCTCAGTACTTAAGCATGTCATTTTCTAATAACATACATAATGATACTTAAAAAGTTATTGAAACTTTTTTATTCTGTTATTACAAAATGTCATTTGAAACGTCTAATAAGATTGCTATTATTAAATCTATTAATGAAAAATTAATTTGAACAAAAAATAATATTTGTATATAATTTTAAATTGAGGCCCCCCAGGGGCAGTGGCTAGCGCATCATGCAGCAACACCACAGGTGCAGGGTTCGATTTCCGCTCTGGGCAAGGTCGACTCAGCCTTTCATTTCTTGGTTTCCATCACTTGGGTCGATAAAATGAGTTCCAAGTTTCATTGGGGACTAAACACTGGGGGTCCTGCGACAAGCTACCCACTTGTTCAGTGCATATACTTACGCACCCTGGGGCCTACGGTCAAGAAAGCAGATTTCAGGCACCGCAGGCTTTGTCTGGTACTACAGTCAAAAGTCGTTAATTCGGACACCCATAATCCGGACCTCAAAGCTACAAACTTTCTGTACATGCGTCGCATAGACACATGCGCGTAAGACCTTTACGGCTGCGAATATGCGTGTGCGCATGCACATAATACGTTTACGCATGTGCGTTTAATGTATAACGGATGGTAAAAGCTAAGCTAAAATTATCTAGTTCAGCTAATGTTGCAGATTGCGTTGTTCCTTAAACTTCGAATTGGATCCAGCTTATTATTTTTTGCAGACTGTTAAAGCAATTTTATAAAAGTAAGCTTGAACTTTCGATTATGTCATATAGAATTTCCGATATATATTTACTAATATGTAAAGGATCTACAAAGTGAAAGTACGTTTCGAAGTCCATTAAACAAAAAGTGGAATTGCTGCGAAAAATGGATAAAGGCATATCTTTTGTTTCTCTAACCATTCCGAAATCTGTTTATCAATTTCATGCTGCTCTGCAGCCGGTGGGGAAGGGAGGACGCCGCAGCGTGCAATGAATTGGAATTTGATCTGTCAGCACTATCCTTATCTTCAGGGCAGATGTTTTTATTTTATTTGGCTTATAATTCCTTACTAAATGTAGCATTTCATTCCATGTACTCGTCTTTGATATGATTTAAATCAAATTCCTCGTCATGTAATTCACTTCCGATAGTGAAGAAAGTGACACGGAGGTTATTGAAAACGAAAAAATTTCGATTGACAAATTAGTCAGTATTCTCGACACAGTGATTATAGGACTTGAACAGTGGAACTTTGTAACTGAACAAGAAATTATGTCTGTTTATAGAATTAAAGTGAAAGTATATTATCACATAAAACGAAGCAACTTAAATAACTTACATTGAAAGAAATCTTTAATAAAGTAAACAAATAGATATTAAGCTTTTCTTTTTTTTTTTTGTCAATTTTGATAGCCTTTAGATCATAATTGTTCCTTATTTTATAAATTATGGTTTCATATTTTTAATTTTATAATTTCTGCATTCCATCTTACCAGATTTAAACTGATGATCTATAATTTCGGAATCGCCGAAGTCCTGACGAGTCCGAATTAACGACTTTTGACTGTATTCGGTTTCGAGAGCCGTAAAAAAATTGTAGCGTAAATGTACGCGCAAAAGCACCAAATCTAGCAAATGCGCCCATCTAACAGCACGCCAAATCTAGCGTACACGCTGATTTCAGATTGCGTAAGTTTATATAGTTCTATATTTCTTAAGACGCCATTGAAATACTAGTTTAATTTTTAAATCCGTTTTTGATTTAAATCCTTTTTTGATATCCTATGGATTTAACAATTTGGGAATTGCCCATGACGAAAAGTCACCAATAGAATTTTGGGTAAAGATCAGAATCACCCACTGCTTGATGCATTTTTAAGAATTGCACATACTCTGTATCCATGTGCACATTGACCTATTTTCACTTAAAAAAAATCCTAGAATTGCACAAAAATGGCACTGCGCACACCCTTTATCGATGTACGCATCGACCTGTTTTCTCTTAAAATGTAAAAGAAAATTGACAAAAAATCCAATTGTTTTTACCCTTGTAAAAAGCGGCAAACAAATAAGTGAGCGATTCTGCACTTTACCGAGAATATTTTCAAAGGAAAAGCATCATTCATTATGGAAAATTATGTTTGAACAACCAACGAGATGAAATTATGCTTTAGCGATAAGTCGGTAGCGAAATAGCAATGCAGGCATCCATTCAGTTATGTTTAGCAATTTTTATATAAATTATAATAATGATCTCAAATAGTTATTTACTCTTATGCTTCCATTCAGTCATGTTTAGCCTTTTTCATATAAATTATAATAATGAAAAAGTATTATATGAAATTAACTTTTCATCTAAATTAAAACATCAATCTTAAATAGTTATTTACTATTATATTCCTTTCTTGCCGCAATTATTAGGGTTGCTGCAATTATTTTTGGCAGCATTGGCATCAACAATAGTTTGGCGATTTTTTACGGCCCTCGAAACCGAATAGTGCCCTTTGTCCCATTAGGGCTGTTATGCCACTGAGTTTAGTTTTTTAATTTTAAACTATCATATTATAATTTAAAATTATTTATATTAATATTTCAGATTAGTCCTATTATTGAAACCTACAAAACGTTGTCTTCGGTCCCAACCCCCATATCTGCCACAATATTGCTTGAAACAAAAGAGAGGCCATTATGTATTCATAGTACATGGAGTATTCATGATTTAATAAAAGCAGAACAAACAAAGTTTTCTCAAGATTTCATTGTGGAAAGAACATCAGAAAAATGTAGTGTTTTATTTTGTGGAATACCTCAAGATATAACTACAAAGTGAGTATTTTCATAATTTTGAAATTTTACATGAATTATTTGTTATGTTTAATATTTATATAGAAAGATTTTAAAATTTTTATTCATGTACAAAGCTTTTCATTTCTCACTTTTTTCATTTCGTTTTATGTAGCTCTCTTTCTGCGTTTGCTGAATCCAGCAAGAGACAAGCTGTTCTTAGAAAATCTTCTAATGATCGTGTATTCTTAGAAGTAAGCTAGTTCACGTGGCAATTTTCTTTGCAGTTGAGAAGTTCTTTTATCTGAAACAGTGTGTTCAATAATATTTTTAAATGTCATTATGCATTTCAAAATTCTCAATTAATATCTGTTGGTAACTGCAAAGGGCTATTAAGTGATAATTTGTAATTTGTAGTTAACATGCAAATAAATTTTAAATTTATGTTAACTGTACATCAAACTCAAAAGATTCCACAAAGATATAGTAATAATTCCTGAGTGATATTGTAATAAAACTGCATATACAATACAAACTATGAAATCCAGATGTCCAATATTTCGAATTATCTAAAATCCAGATTTCCATATCACCAGCAAGCCTTATCTTTAAGAAATTTTTTTAACGCTTTATGTTTGCGCATTTGATATTTTTTCATAATAAAGCATGTGATGACTCTAGATTCTTAATTTCACTTTGGCAGTGATGCCAATATGGGGAGTCATTATTAGTCCAAACGGATTTGAGTCCCGAAGGACTATTACTTTCGTTTTGGCATTTTGCATTGGATTCCTATAAATGTCCGTTCACTTTTCAAACTGTTGCCACAAAATGTTAAAGTCCTGCATTATGTTTGAAGAAATTAAATAATGAAAAATCTGCATAAACGTATGTACATTTCTCGCATTGTGATAGACCAATGGTATCTAGAGGACCAACGGTATTTCATATTCTGCAAAACTTTAACGAATTTTTGGGTAACAAACTCAACGATTTAAAAACAAGCAATGGCAACACTCTACAGGGGGAAAAATGTGTTTTATCTTCAGCGCGTCGAACTGTGTATCAGAAATTCTAAAGATATGCTCATTTTAAAATTATTCCGCGACATTGCTATTGAACTAAATTTTATGGTTTAAGTGCAAAGAACATGATATTTAATAGATAACACACAAATATATTTAATAGGTAACACACACTTTGTGTGTGTTACTGTCACACACTGTGTGTGATATTTAATAGGTAACACACAAAATGTTAAAAAAGCTCCCCTTTGGATGTAATTTAAAATATGAAAAATTTTGGATTTTTTTTTTGTTTTTATATATATATATATATATATATATATATTTGCTTTCATCTATAACTATCAACACACTGTAGCTTGAAAAATGACTCACACAGCAATGCCTAAACAATTTTTTTTTAAAAATTGTTAATTAGTTATTGAATACCAGAGAGCATGGTAACTTTTATGTTGACATGACAGTTGGCAATGGTTATAGATTTCTGCTAACTTTTCTGCAAAGCTAGGTTAGACTGAATTAATTAAGTAACTCAAAGGCTGTCTGCCTATGGGAAGGGATGCCTTCTTGGAAGAATTTTTAAGGGAAACTTTCTTGCTTAAGGGAAACTATCCATGTTACACATGGTAAAATCCATGAAAACTCCCATGTTGCCAGGATTAGAAGCCGAGACTAAACAACAGTGTTCAGAAACTTTCTGTGAAGTGAGTGATGAGGAAAAATATAAGAAAAATTCCTTTTCATATGCAAGAAATATATTTTGTAAAGGCAAAGGATTACATTTAGTGCTGTTTGAATTGAGAGAAAAACTGGTTTATTATTCAATTAAGCACAGAACTGGTGCCAGAGCTAGTATTGCTGCCTCAGGTGGCAGAATTTTAGAGGCAAACTTTTTTTTAGACAAGCATTCAGCAAGGAAATAGAGGGATAGTAAAATTTGTAGAACTTAGGGTAGGGATTCGGACATAAAATTTAGGGAGGCACTTAGAAGCAGAATTTTGAACCTGAAGAGGCTGCACCGGGCCGAAAGATGTCTAGCACTGGCCATGAATAAGCCTTAAGTATACGTGGGAATTTATATATTCAGGAATCAGATGTCTTAAGCATGTGCAGGAAATGGGAATAGTAAATAGCTAAACTAAATAAAATTCAGTGCTAACTTCATCAGAATGTAATAGAAAAAAGACAAATTTTAATTGCCAATCTCAGGGTACATCACCTAGGTACTCTCAGGTACTCTCAGGGTGTCTAGTAGAGGCTAGCTAAGCTTTATGATATTAGCCATGAAATTGAAGCTTTTTAGATATCGCAAGCAAAAAACGAAATTCGCAGCAAAAAGGAAAAAGTGGGTCCAAATCTTGGACTTTGTACTGTATGTAGTTGTAATGAAAGTTTTCCGCAAAAAACATTCTTAATAAAGTTAGAACAGAAACACGAAAGCAGTACCTTTAGTTGGACACTAATCACCACCCAAATCTATAGTTTTCTGGCAACATTTTGGTAGTTTTTCAAGGCCTTTGCCCCAGAAACTTTGTGGCCGTGAGTCAAAAAACAGATCACCCTCATTTCAGACATCCTATGTAGAATGGAAGATAGTACCAGCAATATGTAGCTGCAGATGTGAAAAAAAGTAGAAGTCCGAAGGAGCGATGTCGGGGCTATATGGTGGGTGTGACGTAAGATCACATTTGAGCCCATACAGAGTCCAGTGAATGCAGACACATGTGTTCTTGCATTATCTGGTTGGAACATTATCTTTTTGTGCCGGAACTCAGTTTAACATTCAACATTTTCCCTTAGTAGCAGCTTCAACACGGACTAGCATTTCCCTGTACACGTTACTGTTGAGAGTTTTTATCTTTTTCCAGATACTCTTTGTGGATGGCAATCTCACCAGATACAAAGCAGGATTTTTTCATTAATCAAACTGCACATTGCAACGTTGCTGACGGGCTGATCAGGTGCAGATTAACCCCGTTTTCAGCCTGTGTTTTTAAAGTAAATCCACTTTTCATCACAAGTGACGAGCTAGTCCAAAATTTTGTCCTTGCACTGATATTCGAGCAGATTAGATTGATTTGAGCAGCCCAAACACATCTGTCCTTATCTGCTTGAGTCAGCTCATGCAGTATCCAGCGATTGAACTGTTATGTAAAGTTTATGCGATCCATAATGCAACTAATGGACATCACTGACATTTAACTCCTTAGCAAGCTCTCAAGTGGTTGCATACTGATCTTCTTCATAAGTTCTCACAGGGGGTTCTTATCAACATTAGTTGGCCTGCCAAAATGCTCTGCTTCTTGAATGTTATAATCCTTGTTTTTGAACTTTCGGTAAAAAACCTTCACAGTGTTATATGATACAACATTAGTACCTAAAGTTGTGCGCATGATTTGATGACATTCTCTAGCTGACATTCTGGAACAGAACTAGGAGTAAATAATGGTTCTAATCTGGTAGCGTGATAGTTCCATTTCAGGTACCTTGTACTTAATGATAACGATATTTTTTTACAAATTTTACAACACAGTGTTCTAAAACAAGTCTCTTTCTTTCAAATGCTTAACAAGATTCTTTAGCCAGTGGCACTTGGTGTGGTATTCTAATATCATTCCTAATATGGTTATCTTGAGACCACGTTTTGCATACTGTAGTAATATGATATGAAGCTAAATCCTGTTCAAATATAAATGCTTTATTATCTTGGAAACATTCATGCGCAAAAGATTTCAATTTGATATTTCTTTTACATATTTTTGGCCTTTAATATTCCCATTAATCTCATGAATTCTCCCCATATCTTTTTATATCGTTAAGCCCCAGATAATGTCACTAATTGGATGTTTCATGGTAAATATAATGAAGTAAGGATGCGAACCTTCTAATTTTTCTTGCTATGTTCTTTATGCCAACACTACCAAACACTGATATTTTGGTCTCATCACTGCAAATTATGCTATCTCATTGCTCTGCAGTCCAGTTAACATAAGTTTTTAGCTCAGTTTAATCTTTTCATTTGTTTGAGAGATAAAAATTGCTGTGTTGCAGACCAAATTACTGCAGTTTGTGCCGAACCCTACTTTTGAAATTCACTTTTGGTTGTGTCATTTCCCCTCAGCTGATTTTCTTACATCAGCTAGGCTCAGTCTCTTAATTCTTCTGTCATCACTTGGTGGGGTGCACTTCCCCCCTACTTTGACCAGTCTAGTTTTGTAGTGACTGATTTTTCTTAATGCTGCTTCAAAAATTTAGAAATATTATTTTTACTGTATGTTTTCATTAATTTTACTTATAATTTTCCCACATTTGTAGCCTTATTCACTTAATGTAATTTTATTACATTGCTTTTAGGTAGCTAGCCTTGCATTATTTCTTAAATTGTTATGTTTTCAAAGCTCAATGAATTAAAGAACACAAAATAACTAATTATCATGATAGCAATGTCATAACATACTGACCCATATCTTCCTCTGAGTTCCAAAGCATGACACAATTAGACAAGCCCATGAATCGAGACTTAGGACAGAAGGGCTAGTTCATAGAGCTTTTTTCCTGAAACAGGAAGTGAGGAGTGATAACATAGTCCTTTTGACACTGACTGCAAGTATGCAATTCACAGCAAAAAAATGAATGTTTTAAATTTGAAGAAACAGCGTTAAAAACTGTGCATGAAAAAATAGCTTTAATTTAGAAGAGAAGGTGTTATTACTGAAAGCATTTATAATGTTTAAAAAGTTAATAATACAGTACTAAGTCCAAACTCCGCAAGCCCATTATCCGGAATGATCTAAAATTTGGACCTCAAAACCACCAACAACGTTTTATCTAGTAGGTTTTATGCATGCACATTTGATTCCCCCTTCCGCGCATAATAAAACATCTGGAGAATCCTGATTTTTAATTTCATTTTGACACTAAATAAAATACCTTGTTATTGAAGAAACAATCATTTTAGCATAAATTTGTATGATCAGTAATTTGGCTCCATTGCTGCGTATCTGCTTGGCACACATATCAAACCAAACTTTTCACATAGATACATTGTTGATGTGATGCCAACCTGGTGAATCATTATTTATTATGCTTTCCTTTCATCACCATATGTTTATAAAAACATGACAACTTGAGTAATGACTCATGTAGTGATGCCTTAACATTTTTTTTTTTTTTTGTTAGTAATTGAATAATAAAGGAGTATGGTAACCTTTTATGTTTTGACATTACGC